ATGAAAAAGGAAGAATTACTAGAAATGACAATACAAATATGTTATCAAGAGAATAAAAAGTCAACCCACACAATGGGAGAAATTATTTGCAAATCATTTATCTGTTAAGGATCTGGAATCCAGGATATTCAAATCAACAACGAAAGACACAACCCAATTTAAAATGGGACGAAGGACTTGAACAGACATTTCTCCAAAGACAGATACAAACAGCCAACAAGCCCATGGAAACGCGCTCAACATTATCAATCGTTCGGGAAATGCAAACAAAGCCACAATGAGACACCTCTAGTTTAGGTGCAATCAAGAAAATGAAAAGAGCAGGTGCCACCGAGGATGTGGAGACTGGAGCCCAGGCACTGCACACTGCTGGTGGGGTGCGGGGTGTGGGATGGGGGTGCATGGGGTGTGGGATGTGGAGTGCGGGGTGCAGGGTGAAGAGCATGGGGTGCGAATTATGAGGTATGGGGTGTATGAGGTGGAGTGTGGGGTGTGGGTGCGTAGTGTGTGGGGTGTAGGGTGCGTGGGGTGGAGTGCAGGGTGCAGGGTTTAGCAGGGGTCCTCAAACTTTTTAAAGTGGGGGCCAGATCACGGTCCCTCAGAGAGCTGGAGGGCCGGACTATATGAACTACTAATTCCTACTGTAACACCTCAGCTGCGCTCACTGCCCAAAAAACATGGCGGGCCGGATCAGACTCCTTTGTGGGCCGCATGTGGCCCGCGGGCCGTAGTCTGAAGACCCCTGGAGAGTGTGGTGTGCGAATTATGAGGTATGGGGTGTATGGGGTGGAGTGTGAGGTGTGGAGTGCGTGGGGTGGAGTGTGGGGTGTGGGTGCGTAGTGTGTGGGGTGTAGGGTGCGTGGGGTGGAGTGCAGGGTGCATGGTGTGGAGTGCGGGGTGCGGGGTGTAGAGTGCGGGATGCGGGGTGTGGAGTGCGGGGTGCAGGGTGTAGAGTGCGGGGTACAGGGTGCGGGGTGCGGGGTGTAGAGTGCGGGGTGCAGGGTGTGGAGTGTGAGGTGGTGCGGCTGCTGAGGAAGTATGGTGGCTCTTCCACACGTCACACTGGTCCCACGAGATGCAGCATTCCACTCTGAGACACAGGCCCAGAGAGATGAAAACAAGGGTTCCAACCGAAAGCTGTTGCACATTCACAGCAGCTCTCCTCAGTGGCCAAATGTGGCAACAGCCCAGCTGTCCATCAGCAGTGAGCAGGGGAAAGTGGCCTACCCATACGGTGGGTGACATCATTCACCATAAAAAGGAACGGAGTTCGATACTGTGCTCAGTGAAAGAAGCCAAACAAAAGGGCCCGGCGCGCGGCCCACTCACAGGAAAGGTCCGGGAGAAGTGGCCCAGAAGCCCAGACGCAGGCGGTGGCCGTCGGGCTGACCGGGCTCTTCTTCGGTGATGACGTCTGGGAACTGGATGAAGTGACAGTTGTGCTACACTGTGAACGTACTAAATGCTACGGACCTGCTCACTCTAAAATGGTTAGCGTTCATTTGATGATGTGAATTTAACCTCAATCAAAACAACCAAATAAGAAATGACTTTTAGCCAGGACCGGTTTGGCTCAGTGGATAGAGCGTTGGCCTTCGGACTGAAAGGTCCCAGGTTCGATTCCGGGCAAAGGCATGTACCTGGTTGCGGGCACATCCCCAGTAAGGGGTGTGCAGGAGGCAGCTGATCGATGATTCTCTCTCATCAATGTTTCTAACTCTCTATCCCTCTCTCTTCCTCTCTGTAAAAAATCAATAAAATGTTTAAAAAAAAGAAAAAAGAAATGACTTTTAAGAGCCAACACCTTTGCCTCCCCTCCTCCTGATAGCTCCGTCCTGAAGCCATCCGTCTGCAGGTAAGGGCAGCACCGCAGCAGGGACAGTGTAGCAGGGACAGTGTCGGACACGCAGGGGGCGGCCCCGCAGAGGGCAGCCTGGCGTGGGGGCCCAGAGCCTGAGCAGGAGGAGAACGGCCCCTTGGTCTGGGACCCCAGCTTCCAGGCCGAGAAATGAATGTGGCTGTTCAAACCCCATCCCTCGCTGTCTTCTATCGGTTCCTTTGCTGTTATGGTTTTCACTGAGGTTATCTGTAACTTGGGGGGGAAGGGGGTCTAATTTGTTAGTTGTCCTTGTTCCAGTGAACTAAGTGGCTTCTGCACCAATGGTGACGGAGCCCAGCGATTGTGTGTGAAGGGCACCCTTTCATAGCCACTCAGGGGAGAGAGGACAGAGCACAGGAAACTGGCAGGGACACCTCCCCATGGGGGGGACAGGAGGCGAAGGCAGGAAATGGAACCCTGGTGCCAACCCTGAGTCACTTTCCCAACTGAAGACAAAGCTGTTTCAAGTTTCACGTGAGAAGCAGAAGCCGCAGCCCAATCGCACGGAGGGAGGGGGAGGGTCCGCAAGAAGCTCTCATCTGCCCTGACCAGCCTGTGTCCCCAGGGCGAGAGGAACATTTCCCTGCCCCTCGCTCCGCAGGCTCCTGGGGGAGCCTCACCACCTACCCGAGACTTGGTCTTCTCGGTCATACACTCAGTCACAGACTTCGGGGTGACAGTGGATGGACACACATGAGAGAGGGCTGAGTCCTGCCCACAGCAGGAGAGGACTCTCTTTCTTCAGACGTAAGCTACAGGGCAGGGAGGACAGCAAGGCGACAGGATGCCGAGCACGGACAAGCCCGAGGGACTGCGGGCAAGTGAGGGAACGGACCTCCTGCCCCGGAAGGCTCAAGGTCTGGGGCTCCAGAGAACTCGGGGGAAGCGGGGCGTCTGAAATAAGGCACTCCAGATATGCCACGGAAGAAGCACCCCTGAACCCGGCCCCCACCCCAGCCAGAGACCACAGTTACTCGCTGCACATGTGAGCAGGGGCACCATGGAAGAGAAGACTTTGTGGAAGAAATGGAGACACAGGGCGAGCACCACTACCTGCCCCTCCCAAAATCATTACAATCTTCAGAGAAATAAGAGAAGCAACTAAAAATAACATGCTTTAAAAAAAAAAAAAAAAAAACACTCAGCAAAAAACAACTCCTGAAAGCCAAAAATCATATCGGCAGAAATGAAACAATTAACAGGAGGGCCGGGAAAGAAAGGGGAGGGACCTGGGAATTAGGAGGATAACAAAAAGGATCCACACAGGGGAACAAGCACATCCAAGACTCAAGAACCCCCACGAACTGGTGTGAATTCCAGGGCAGGAGAGCTGCTCCTGGCGGAGAAAACCCACCAGGGGCCGCCTGGTCTGGGGAGGGAATCATGCAGCCCGCGTCCCGACAGGACTATGCTTCTCCAAGCTCGGGGGCTGGACTCCTGAGAAAGGAGAGCTGGGCACAAACACAGACCTCGCCTGCAGTGTCAGACCCATGTGCAGGGAAGCTCGTCTGCAACTGACTTTGAAACAGACGGACAAGTAGCTAAGGGCGGGCTCGCACTTCAGCGCTGGGCGCGGAAGCAGACCGAGCACAGCACTCACTGTCGAGTCCAATGTCAGGGAGCTGACCACTCACTGTCAAATCCTGACCACTTGTCTGTTTGAAATGTTTCGTATTAAAATGTTGGGGGAAAAGAATCAGAATAGCATCAAACTTTCAACAGCAGGGCTGCTGGCTAGATGCCCCAGAACATTTTCAAACCTGCAGGTGAATGACTCTGTGCCTGGGATTCTCTATCCAGCCAGACGAACTACCAATCAGGTAGCAGGCAGAACAAAGACACTTCCAATACATCCTTCTCCAAACCTCGCCTCTCTGGCACTCTTTTTCTCAGGAGCCCACACACAGGATGACCAAAATAAAGGGTCAGTCCACCAGAGACCATGTGGGATCCAGGAAGCGGGAAAGAGGTAGGTGAGAAGGCAGAAAAGAGGGAGTGAAACTCATTTTCCATAAAGGGAAGGCAACAGACAACACCCACAACTGGACAGGCAGGGGTGGAGGAAATGGACAGAGCCATGGAGAAATGTTATTTGGATGCCAGGAGGTAAACACCGAAGACTCAGCCAAGAGAAGGTCCAGGTGGTGCCCTGGGGAGAGAGACTGGGAGGGGACAGCCTCCCCTGAGAGGTGGGCGGGCACCCTCTCCTCGAACCCAGGCCAGTGAAGTGTGGCCTGGCCTTTCTAAGGATTGGAAGCTTGTACGTGGCTCTTCCAGAGTCCTGAGCCAAGTCAGACTTCCTCCTCCTGGAGAGGCCTCTGCAGGAGATGGCCTGGGGAGGGAGGACCCAGCTGCCCTCTCCAGGACATCAGGCAGGTGAGTGAAGCCATCCTGGGTCCCCCATCCAGTGCACCTGCAAACTAACACCACCCCCACCCTCAACACCCACGGAGCACAGGGCTGGCAGGGCGGAGGCCGGCCAGACTCTGGACCCACATCACCCAGACATGATGCAACCGCGGGGAAGGCACCAAGCTTCGGTGGCTTCTTCCCCCGCAGCAGCCAGGTGAGCAGCCGGGGTCCACTGCTTTCTGTGACAAAACATTACAGTACACGACGTCTGGCATGGAAAAAGGTAATAAAAACATTTTAAACCCAATGGTAAAGCTTTACGTAAAATCTGAAGCCTTAAATTTTTAAAGAAAAAAAAACAAAACACACACACACACACACACACACACACACACACAGTATGTGGCCTAGGAAGCCCGACCCAGCGCCAGGAACACCACACGTGGCCGGGTCTGACCGGCTCACAGCCTCCTCTCCCGTCCCCAAACGGACATCACTTCCAGCCACACATAGTGGGCACACAGCCACGGACTGAAGAGCGAGCAGTGTGAGTGGGGAGGGGGGTAAACAGGCTCAAAAATGGTCTCAGTTATTATTTTTTTTAAGAACGAAAGGGTAAGAGGGTGTGGGATTCCCACGGCAGCTGCAGTCCCGCCCCCAGTGAGCTAGGCCAGGGACTGGTCCCGGGCAAGCGCCAGCAGGTCCCCGCGGGAAGGCAAATGCTGAGCCTGTCTCCCTCCCTCTCGGCTCTCTCGAGGAGGACCAGGGAGGACAAAGACTGCCAGGCACAGGGTAAAGGGCGGAAGGCAACGGCTGTCTCCTTCAGACCCAGGGAGAGGACACCAGAGAGCCCGCCTCCGTCGGGGGAGCTGTGGCTCAGACTAAATGCCGGTGTTTGCAGGCTGCTCCCTACAAGCGCTGGAGCGGCTGAAGGAAGGTCTCACGTGCTTCTGCGTTACATCACATAATTACTGAAGGCCGACCTGTGCCCTATTCCTCTCTATTCTCACCAGGAACACCTCTGACCCCGTGGTCCTGACGCCGGGCCAGCTCTGTGGCGCTACGATGGCGCTCCCGAGGGAAGCAGGCAGCTCCTGGGAGGCACAGAGTGGTGCTCGGCGTGGCCCAGGGGTGACGCTGCTCTGAGGGCTCGGTGGGTGCAAACACGTGGGAGCAAACACATGAATCGTAGCTGCGGGCAGGAGGAATATCAGGTGCATCTCCAGGCCCTGAGGGCGCAACTCCTCCACTTAAACCCCTCCCACTGGGGCGGCCGCTCAGTCTCTGAGAGCAGCCGGCTGAGACAGTCCTGCTCCTGGGCACTGGCCGCCTCCCGCCGCCTCCCGCTCCCTGCACTGCCTGCCTCCGGTGAGTACCTGCCATTTCTTCTCAAATTCACCTTTTCTTTCAAAACTGCTCTCGGGTGGATCTTAAACGACCGGCTCGGCGAGTCCCTGGCTGCCCTGCTGTTCTCCGAGATTCCTTAGAACAGCAGGTGCACCACTCACAGCAGACCTGAGCAGGAACTTGTAACCAAGCGACACTGCATTCCTGGCCTGGGAACTCAGTTCCTCGTTTCTGCCATAAAGCCCATTCAGTTTAAAACAAAGCTCGAATTTATATTATTGCTTATGTGTTTCCTGCCTTAAAAATAAACTGTAAGTTTCAACATAAAAGATCATATATATATACATGAGTGTGATTATACAGTTGCTGATTTTATAGTTTCTTTCATTTTAAAACCTTTTGAAATTTTAAAGTTTAAATAAGTGCTGTTGTAACTTGTTTAAAAAAAAAAAAAAACTTAGCCAAAGAGGATCCCTCTATGTACAGAAAGAAGTATGTGTTATTTCTCTTTATAAAATGTTTCATAAATCTGTACATTAGAACAATTACTAACCAAATTACTGGCCAAGTTTGAGATGAGACCTCATTTACAGCAGACTCTGTCTGCATTTGCTACCCTAATTTTTATTTGCATGGCCAGAGTCTTCCCCGGCTTTGAACTGGTTTGGTTTGTTTCTGTGAGAGCAAGCGGGCAGGCACCGCGGGCCCCTGGGCTCTAGGGAGAGCCCCCGGCAGGGCGTTAAAGCTGTGCCCTCTGCGTGCAGAGCTTTCGGACGCGGGGCCTCGGGGCTTCGGGGCCTCGGCTGAAGCCCCGCTGTTCCCTGACCTAGTCTCCTAAACCCGCGTGGGCAGCCCGTCCTCCCTAGGCACAGTGGTCCTGAGGTTGCCGGCATTTTAAGGACCACAAGTCTGGGAAGGGAGTGGCGGTTAATCACTGGAAAAGCTCCATTGGAGTAAAACTCACAAATCTTGTTCTTGCAACACCCCAGTGGGTAGGCGACAATGGCGTGTCCCTGAGTTATGCAATAACGCCACCTCACAATATCGTAATTATAGCATGCCCTTCAGAACGTTCCACCTGACGAGGCCGCTGCCAGACTCCGGACACACCGAGGCAGGGTCTCAGTGCACGGCTCCCGGCATGACGGGCACGGCTCCCAGCCTGCATAGCAATGTCCCGTAAAGACAAGCTATAGTCACCTCTATTTTGTCCTATCCAAGTTTTTGTTTTTTGTTTTTTTTTAAATCTCCTCCTCTCATCTATTTTTCAGAGTTCAAATTCCTTAGAAACCTTTTAAACTTGCCAGCCACTCACTCTCTCCTGACGGCTGTCTCGGCCGCCACAGTGCCTGTCCACGCTTGGGAAGCCGTCGGAGACAGTGAGAGGCAGTCCCTGCATCGAGACAGGCAAACAGCCCTGTGGCCAACTGAAACCACATGTAAGCAGTTCTGCCTGGAGCCCTGGGGAGAGCACGGCGGGGGAGAGAAAGAGGCAGCTAGACGCCTCTCCCAGCTCTTCCCACAGGCAAAAAAGCCAATCAGCTTAGCAAAAGCAGATGTTTAAGATGCTTGAAAAGTCACAAAAAGGACACTTCTAAGTGCAGTAGAAAAACCTCTGTGAGGCTCCAGCCCCTGTGCCTGCCTTCAAATCACTGCCTCCCACTGTCCTCCGCCTCCAGCGTGGACGCTGGGGTACAGCTGCTTAGTCTGAAAGGACGGGATGGAGGTGGCCGAGCAGAGCCACCCAGGCAGAGGAGGCCGCTCAGAGCAGGTGCTACCTGCCAGCTCCCTCGAGCCGGCAGAGACAGCCGAGTGGGAGGGCAGGAGGGTGAAAACAGTCACAGAAACCTTTCAACAGGCAGAACTCTGACTGTGAAAGATGCTCCCAGGGTCCAGCTCCATTAGCTCTCCACACCGCTCTCCAGGGAAGTGCTCACTCAGAAGCAGGCGTCCCAGAGAAAGGATAGTGAAGCGCCTCTCACATCCCCAGAGAAAGCTTCCTCAGAAAGCAAACCCACTTACTACAAACAGTTAACGCTTGGACTGGACTGTTGTGGCAACAATGCCCTTCCTGGGAACACCTGACACCAGCAGTTTTAGTTCCAGTCTGTCATCCTGTAAACCGGCCCTGGGCAGAGAGCTCAGACATGCCTCATTCTATAGGCTGCCCCCTCGAAAGCCCACAACCACCTCCCTTTTACCTGTTCCTCCGGCATGACTGCGCTTTTATAGCCGAGCGGACTACGCCTGTCTCCAGGGGCACCTGAAGCCATGGTGCTGGTTTTAATGAGCGATTGTGCAACCCTGAGTCAGTTTACCCAGAGCTAATGCCACTGCTGCACCTGTGACCCCAGTGGGGCCGTCCTCGCACAACGAAGCCCCGAGGACCCTCACGTCCCACATGTGGTGGGTCACCCTGATGCCTGTGTGCCAGCCAACCAGACAAGAAGTCTAGTCAGCATTTGAGTGAAAAAAGTACATATTGACATAAAACAATCATTTCCAAAAGTATTCTTTTGGGTAATACTATAACTTACATATAACTCGACTCCTATAAATCTTTGAGAAAAGGTAACCAACCTGAGTCTATTTCTATTTCTGCCTGACAGTGTTAGCAATGTTAGGTAAGACTGCTCCAAACTGGACAGCATTTTCTTAACTCTGGAGGGAACTTGCCGTTCAGGTGCGCTCAGTATTTTAATGCTGGAGGGGTGGATCCGAGTCCACTCTCGGTATCGCCGGGACTCGGGGCTCACACCTGATAAACGTTTTGCAACTGTCATCATTGGGACGGTGCTGCCGCTGGTGATGAAATCACCGGTGCTCAGGTCTCTGCCATAACACATCCTATGCAGCCTGGGAAGCTGACTCGCAGAGATTCTCACGCCTCCAGAACCAGAGAGCATAATGAGGCGTGCCACCACAGGCCCCGCTGACTGACTTATCTGGCTGGCCCGGCACTGGCTGGAGTCGCTTGATGACGGGCGGCAAGGAAATTGTGCTTTTATCACCCAGAGAGTATCTGCCCCCCAAGGGATGCACTGATCTCGTAAAGATTTCACGTTTTTGCTATAATAAGCGGAGCTATGGTTACAAGTGTCATTGGCCCGGCATTGACACAGCCGGGCAACTCCTGGCTGCATGGGTTGGAGAAGGGGGGATGAAGGTCTCAGGAGGGAGGACCCCGTTGCAGGGCAGCCAGAAATCTCCCTGCACAGCCAGTACGTGCCCCTCAGGCCCTGTCTTCAGGAACTAGGAAGGCTGAGGCAGCGGCAAAGCCTCTTCCCACTCCAACCGCCCCTGCAAACACACAGGCGTTTGAAAGACCTGGGTGATAAAATAGCTCCAGAGACAGTGTGCAGGTAGGAGAGTGGTTCTTTGTGTTTTTAAGAAATATGGATACATGAGCAGAGAAGCCAGTTAGCTGAGAATAAAATCAGTGCTCTTAGAATTTAAGGTATCCGGTGAAAAGTGAAGCTCCACCCTCCCACAAGGGCCCATTACCTCATCGCCCAAGGGTGGGACCCAAGCAGACTGCCTTGTGCTGTGAAAGCAAGTCTCGTAGGTTCCCACAGAAGGGCTGCTTTCCTGTGAGTGTCTCCCCACCGTGTGGAGGAGGTGACTGTATGAATCCGGCCACTCTCGTTCAGGTCTTAGATCAGAACTGCAGCTGAAGGGTTCTGATAAATCATTTCCTCTGAGCCTTGTTTTTTAAGTGCTTGGCAATATATAGAGGCTAAAGACCTTTTCCTTCCCCTATTTTTATGCAAATGGAAGTGCTCGCACCTCAGGGCGCTTTCCCCACCCACACGTTTCTCTGGGACACAGTCACTGGGGCTGGTCCTCCCAGATCTCTCCGTTTGGCAGGAGGCAGGCTGAGAGCCCATGGTTCCGGTGTGCGGAAACTGGCTGAGACCTGCAGTGAAGCCTGGAGGGGGGGGGGGGGGGGGCAGAGGGGGCCCCCCTAAGGGAAAGTAACCTGAAGGCCAGACACCCAGCAGCCCAGGTGGACCCGAGGCCCTTCGAGGGACAGCCCTGCCAGCCACTCGCCAGACCTGAGTGGGTGTGGTCCGAGGCCCAGTTCCTAAAGGTTGAAAGCTGGGTGGCTTCTTACCATGACCCAACCATCTCTAAAACAGGCACCACTCACTGCCTTCCCCGTGGCCAGAGGGCTGCAAAGCTCTGGTTCTGCAACTGGAGGAGGTAAGGCCAGGAAAGAGAGGCAGGCACCCTGGCCACACTCTCGGCCACCCAGAGGGACCTACCCCACACCACTCACCAGGCAGGCAGTGGAACGGGCAGAGACCAGAGCCAGATATTGGCTCACTCACAGGCTCCCTTGACAGCACCTCACACCACAGGAGTGTGTGGGGCCCACTCTGTCTGGACTGAGACGGCGTGGCTGTGACATCAGGAGGCTTAGGGGGGGATCCCATTTAAACGTATGCCTAACAGCCTGCTGACACAGGCAGCCCCGGCGAGCAGCTTCCTGAACGTCATAATTACAAGCTCCCGGTTGTAAGGGAGCGCACGCACAGCCCCAGGCCTCCGGCAGTCACGTTCAGCAGTCAGACCACCTGTGATGTGACTCAGGCCTGAAACTCTGTGGGCGTGGCTGGGGCAGGATCCCAGCAGTCACCCAGCCCCTCAGTCCACAATCTTTCTGGCATCTGAGGCCTCAGGTCCAGAAACAAGGTTCCCAAAACTCAAAGAATGACAGGCATTCTCAGAACTGACACCAAACACTCCACACACCACATTCCTCTTGGCCCCGAGGAAATTCAGGTCAGACGTGAGAACACAGAAAGCGTGTTCTGAGTGGAGGCCGCTCACCCTGCCCGCACCCAGGGGGCGGCTCCGTCGGATGTCGCCTGCATCTCCAGGTGCCGTGGCGTCAACCCCCCTGTGATCACTGTGAGGACAGGGCTTGCCCACTGGCCCTCAGGCCAGTGTCCTGTCACTAAGGCTCTGCTCCTCCTTTGCAGCTCCCAGGCCCCCCATGAGCACGGCTTTTCTCGGCAGACCCGCAGCGCGTGGAGCTGGCTTCAAATAAAAGCGGCGGGAAGGAAAGCAAGCGCACGTCGGTAAAATCCCCAGGTGCGAATCAAGCAGGAGCCAGCTGTGAGCCGACCCCCGGAAGCCGGAGCCTGACCCGGAAGAGGAAGATGAGTCTTCTCAAAGAGCGGAAACCAAAAAAGCCGCACTACATCCCGAGGCCTCCGGGGAAGCCCTTCAAGTACAAGTGCTTCCAGTGCCCCTTCACTTGCAACGAAAAGTCCCATCTCTTCAACCACATGAAGTACGGTCTCTGTAAAAACTCCATCACTTTGGTATCAGAGCAAGACCGTGTCCCCAAGTGCCCCAAGTCTAACCCTCTCGACCCTAAGCAGACGCACCAGCTGGACCCCACCGTGAAGCCCGCCTCCACCAAGTCGGCCACGCACAGCCTCCCCCACGTGGACACCAAGCTCCCACTCGGCCTGGCCAAGGACGACGCCAAGGAGAACCTGGAGCTGCAGCTGCGTGGGCCCCACAAGGGCGCTGGGCAGAAGCCTGCCCTCCACAGGGAGGCCGAGCACCGGGCTCCGGCCCCAGAGGCCGCGGCGGGCTCCCCGCCGGCTCTGGAAGGGGCCGTGCGGCCATCGGCCTTCGTTCCCGTCGGAGAGCACAGACTCAAAGGGCCAGAACACGCCGAGGCTCCCGAGGCCCTGGCACTGCCCGGCACCACCACCAAGGCCACCCCTTTCCACACCAAGTCTGCATTCCACGCCCCTGCCTACCCCTGGAAAGCTGGCTTGCCCTTCCTCCCACCCGAGTTCTCACATAAAATCCCACCCACCAAGGGGTTTGGGGCCCTTTCCCCTTACATGCACCCCACAATTCCCGAGTACTCACCCCACTTTTACACGGAGCATGGACTGGCCACCATCTACTCACCCTACCGCCCGGCCGGGAACTCGCCCGAGTGTGACGCCCCCCTGCTGTCAGTCTACGGGGCCCAAGACCAAAGGCACTTCCTGTCTCACCCGGGGCCAATGCCCAAGCACTTGCACCCGTCTCCCTTGGCATACGATCATTACCGGTTTTTCCAGCAGTACCACCCCAATTTGCCAATTCCTTATGGATTCTACAGACCAGAGTCTGCGTTTTCCTCCTATGGCCTCAGACTGCCGCCTGTCCCTGGTATTTCACAGGATCAGAGCGCCCACCTCCTGGAAGAAGCTGCCCTGGTCTACCCAGCCTCCAGTCCATCCAAGTCAAACCCTTCCCACTCCCACAAGAAACACACCGAGTTTGAGAAAGAGAGTCCGACTGCTGAGGCCGAAGACCCTTCCAAAGACAGGCAGAGGGACACAGAAGGGACCAAGATGAGCCCACGGGCAGGCAGCGCGGCCACGGGCTCCCCAGGAAGGCCAAGTCCCACCAACTTCACCCAGACAAGCCAGCCCTGCACGGGGCTGGGCGACCTCTCGGACAAGCCCACAGCAGACGCCCTGGCAAGACTCCAGCAACCAGAGCGGAGCCTCACAGCCTTCAAGCCCATCAAGAAGAGCACCGAGCGCCCACATTTCCAGGCTCCAGAAAACAGAGATGACCCTCCACAAAGGTAAGAGCATCTTCTTTTCAGAACCTCCACAGGCGTGTCTCTGGCTGTGCTCGGTTAGCAAGCTAGGACTCTCCCAAAAAGCTTCACACAGCAGCTTTTCTACTAATGTCCCTAATAAGCTTCCCTTCTCTTTGCCTCCTCCAGCCTCGGCACCATGGACACCGACACTCCGGCCCAGACAGGCAGCACCTCTCGCGGCATGGAGGCCATGCCGCCCGGCCCCGAGGACGGCTCCGGGATAGCCCCACTGAACCTCTCCAAGAAACCGGAGGCCAGGCCGGCAGCAGCTCCCGACCCCCGGTACACAGACTTCCCGGAGCTGCAGGACGTGCCTCTCAACCTCTCGGTGAAGGACCCCTGCAACGCCCTGGCCCAGAGGCCTTCCCCCCACAGCCCCCCGCCAGAGGCAGAACCCGCCACGGCTCAGAAGACCAGGCCGGCAGGTTCCGGAGATGAGCCGGGACATACAGAGACGAACCACAACAGCCTTGGCTCCGATGAGGTCCCAATGACCAGCCCCACTGGGAAGGCCCAGGACACACGGGCAGTGGACAGCAGCGACGAGCAGAAGCAGACGGCAGCCGTGGCCCTCTGCCAACTGGCGGCCTACAGCCCGGGCACCGTCCGGGTAGGCGATGGGGAGCCTATGGCCCAGGAGTCCACCTGCCAACAAGACACGCCGGCTCTCAGTGCCACGGCGAGCCAGGAGCCTCAGAGTGACCTCAGACCCAAAGGGCAGAAGAGGACGAGCCCACGGGATTCAGGGAAGTCCCAGCAGGGAGCTAAGAAGACGAAGTTGAGTGACACGGCCCGAGTGTTCACCCTCCGGAAAAGGACTCGGGTGTCCTAGTGCTGGCTCCCTGGCACAAAGCAGGGCGCAGAGCAGCTCATCTGCAACAGCCCCTGCGTTTTTTATCTGTCCATTTTTACAGGCAGTTTTTTCTTCTCAAAAAACAAAATACACATAAAGAGAAAGAAAAAAGAAAAAACACGAAAAGGCTACGATTCAGCTCACTTTTTGTAAATATTAAGCATGAATATTATAAGGTGCTTCCATTTGGGACTGTAAAAACATCAGAATGACTCCTACTCTAAGATTGGCGAGTTAGACACTGGCTTTTATTTTTATAATAGAATGAATGAAACAGGTTGGACTACAAGGTAACTTTCAAGTATAAGCCATGTCATAGGAAGTCTTGTAAAAGTACTTTTCTTATAAATACAATTCTTACACCAGAACAAATGGTCTTAGCTGTCTCATTAAACCTACTGTGTCATGAAGTCAGCGACAATAACTGGAAATGCCAGAAGCCTTTTCAGCATCAGCACTGCAGTGCTGTCTCTGAGGACATTTTGATTTGTTGTGACTAAATAATACACAAACATCAGGAGGCTATTTATACAAATAATTTATTTCCAGGAGGGAACATGTTTTACTGGTGGAGTTATTACCAATATAGTCCATCCCATGTAATGTTACAGTGAACTTTCTGATTCATGCAGCCTCACTTTCCACTTCCTAAAATGATGTATATATTGCCAATTTTCCAATAAACTCTTGATAAACTTTAAGGGTGCACAAAATAAAAAGAAATATGGACTCTGTTATATTTTAGAGTATTCTGCCATAATAAACTCAGTGAAAGAAGAGACCAGAGCTGAGGCAACAATTAAAACAGACTGAGAGTGAATGTGAGTGTGTGTACACGTGAGCGTGCGAATGTGCGTGCAGACCAGTGGGCACCACCTGGGCTCCTCGGAGCCTACTACAGGCCCTGGCCTTGGAGCACTGCAGGAGGACGAGCTGCCAGAGCCCGGCTTTCTAAAGGGCTGCTGAGAGCAGGCCGGGGGCCTTCAGCCCCTCCTCCCGCCTCTTCACAACAGCCTGGGTTCTCCCGTTTACCCCCCGGGACGTCGACCACAGGCCCTGGAAAGGCACATGGTGCGGAGTAGGATTCACTCCAGGGACTGGGAGGAGCTCTCGACCAGGCAGGTGGTGGTCACCAAGTGCAGGTCCAGTGAAGGCAGAGGACAAACACTGCTAAAGCAAGAAAGCCATCCCCAACCACCTGTGTACGCAACAAGGCTTCTCAGCACAGAGCTGAAGAGAAAACTTTTAAATAAAAATATTTATGTAAAGCCTTGCCTCATCCTAAAAGGCAGCCTGAACCGCCCTGGCTGTGGCTCAGTTGGTTGGAGCATCTTCCCATGCACCAGAAGGCTGTGTGGGTTCCATCCCCAGTTGGGGTGTGTGCAGAGGGCAACCAATCAATGCTTCTCTCTACCCCTTCCTCTCTCTCTAAAATCAATAAAAATCATACCCTCAGGTGAGGGCTAAATTGAAGAAGAAAAAAAACACTTCACAACAGGGAGAAGCAGCAATTAGGAAAGAGAAAGAGGAAGGCTGAGCAAGACCTAGTGCATTCTCCCCTACACCACCCCCGCCAGGGAGGGCACCGCCTAGTTGCCTAGTTGTGAGCTCACACAGGCCGTGCTGGGGAGATGGGGAGAGACGAGGCGCCCACGTCTTCAATTGTCCAGACGATACAAAGCAAACGCATGGCAGGTACTCACCGTCCGGGAGTCGGGGAGGGAGCAGCAGGCCCCTCCTGCCCAGTTCTGCCAGCGCCAGACATCCACCATGCCAGGCGTTGTCCGTCTCCTGGAAACTGAGAGCACACAGAACACTGAGACCACAGAGCTTTCCGGCAGGCCCAAACCCGAAGCCTAGAGCCTCCCAAAGCCCATCTGTGAATTTAAAGCCTCAGCGGCTGGCACAGGAAATACAATACTCCAACTGCCCTGGAGAGAACAGCCCAGCTACAAAGTCAGAGTTCATAAAAATGACGAAATAAAGGCAGAGCAGTATTTGAGCTTTAACTCAGGAGCACTCAGACTGCTGGGCTGGAGAAAGGCCCGCACCCCTGGCCAGAGATGTGTCCTTTGGGAGAAGAAAATGTTCAGTGCGTGGGGTAGGGGCTTCAGGAGGGAGGCCATGAGTGCAGCGACGAAAGGGAGGGAGGGAAGGGGGGAGTTCCATACAAAGTAGCCTGTCCTGGCTGGTGTGGCTCAGTGTAGAGCGTCGGCCTGCGGACTGAAGGGTCCCAGGTTGGATTCCAGTCAAGGGCATGTATCTTGGTTGCAGGCACATCCCCAGTAGGGCGTGTACAGGAGGCAGCTGATGGATGTTTATCTCTCATTAATGTTTCTAACTCTATCCTTTCCCTTCCTCTCTGTAAAAAAAAATACACAATAAAACGTGGTGTTGTTTTTTTAAAGGAGCTTTAACTGACCAGAGGGAAGCAGCAGATAAAAGAACTGGAGGCAGAGCCATCCCTGGAGAAGGAAACAGAGGAAAAGCTCCCAAATCCCATCTCAGAGCTCCATCCTCTCTCAGCAGCAAGACACTCCACCGTGGCCACGACAATGGCCACTCCCTCAGTGGCCACCTGGGGACCCCTCTGCACCCAGCAGGCTCCCAGTACCATCAGCACACCCATCGCCATGCCACCAGAATGGGACTCCAGGAAGATGCCCTCAAATAAGCCAGCAGAACGGCCAGCTAAGACAGGGAAGCCCGCACTGTCTTGTTCCTCGTTCAGGGCGCCCTGGCCACGTGTGCACCATTATCCTGAAAAAGATGGCCCACATCTGACACCCTGCCCTCCCGACACTGTCACCAAGCAGGCTCCAGGCAAAGTGCAAGAAGAAACCTGCTCAGGGGGAGCACGGCTCCGAGGGCGCTCGAGGAGCAGCCCAGTGACTAACACACACACCTGAGCACCCAGGAGTGCTGACGGTGCACTTTGCCTGCTCAGTGGCAGTCCTAGACGAAAAGCCACAGCTAATGAGGGCAGCAGTGCAACCACTGGCCCAGCAAACAGCACCCGTTCCCCAAACACCTGCTTCTGAAACCAGGAACGACACTGAGAGCCTAAACCCCCGGCAGGAACTGCTCACTATGCCTGTCTCCAATGCACACATACACCTGGGAGCACCTTGCTGCCTGGGTTCTGCCCTGTCCCCACCTGCAGGCCCCAGGCTCACACCAGTGTCAAGACTTCCTGCAAGGCTGGGACAGATACAGCACAACTGCCACTGCGTGCTGCTGTTTACATTGAAATCCGGCAAAATTAAAGTAAAACTTACAATTCACACCTCAGTGATGCCAGCCTCTTTCTATAAATCACAGTAGTAGAGGTGGCTCGTGGCTGCCCTAGAGGCAGATCCAGAACATTCCATCACCACAGACTCTCCCTGGGACAGTGCAGACCACAGGTTCTCTCTAAGAATATCTATGTGTGTATATGTTCAAGACTGATTTTTTTCCTTAAGGTTTACGAAATGTAACAAAACCTAAGCTGATAAAATAAACATATCAGAAATACGGGGAGTTCTCAAATTCACTTCAAACAGAAAAAAACACATAACTCTGGGGCTCTAACAAGAAGCTCAATTAAAGAAAATGTAAAAGGTCGGAGAAAAAACCCACCGCTTCCTGCCAGAAGTGCACCTCCTTCTCCCCTCCCCACCGCCCCACACGTACCTGAAACAGTCCAGCACCGACCCCACCACGTCATCCGCCAGCTCCTGGGGAAGCCTTCCGGCCACCCTGCCAATCCTGGAAGAGAAGGGCCAGGCCCTCATCAGCACCGCCAGCCCATCGTGGGGCCACAGCCATCAGCCATCTCCCTCCCCCGAGAGAAGGGGACAGAGGCTGACCCAGAGCCAGAGCACACACTGCACTCCAGCACCTGCCCCACCGGACTCCACGAGGCTGCCATAAGCACCATCTGTGCGCCTCTTAGGACGGATGCAAAGGGTGGGCACACAGTACCCAGCACCCAGCACCTACAGACCCTCTCGCTGGCTGGAGGCCCCACTTCCAGAGGACACCAGCCATAGGCTCCCGTCAGGCTACCTGACGTGGGACCGGCACCCCTGCATAGCCCCTGCCAGGCCGGGTCCTGACTGAGCTCCCAGGAAGGCCCCTCCATGCCAGCCCATCCCAGTCCAACCAGACGTGACTTTGGGCTCAGAGGTTGCCCTGTGACCCCTGCAGCCTGAGTGCTCGTGTCTCTGGATGATCAGCACAGAAACTCAGGGGAACCTCTGGCCGGGGGACCCCTCCCCGCCCCGCCCCCAGAACCTCCACTCCATTTTGCGTTTCTCCACAGAGGGCTCGTGGACATCTTCAAGAGCTACACGTACTTGGGACCCCCTTGCCCTCCCCGACAGTAGATTCTGCTATGGGAGGCCTGGCCCTGCTGGGCGGCCCCTGTGTGTTGGTACAACAGAGGATGTGGCCACCCCACCCTGGGAACCCGGGATTAAATGGGCCGCGAGTGTCTGTGGGGGTGGGATGAGACAGGCACACTGGCATATACCAATTCTGCCCATTCCAGACAAAAAGCACAAGGAAATAAAGGAGCCTCAAGTCAACCTCAGTGATTATCTTTAAAATTAGGACATAAAGCAACAAATGTAAATTAGAAAAAGCCCAGTTCTCAGATTCCACATGAAGGGCTGCATTGGTGAGAGGTCTCGTTCACAAGCCGCCAGCTCGTTCACACCCAGCGCTCCGCGAGATGGCCTCACCTACCCTTTGGCCGCAGACCACCGCACGACCGTGTCTTTGTCCTTCAGCCCGACCAGCAGCTGCTCTGGAGAAGACAGGAGGGAAGGTCCGTGAGCACCTGAGTCACTGCCTCCCTCCCAGCTTCTGGCACCCACCCTCCCTTCACCACGCGCGCTCCAGGGGGGAACTACGTTAATTCCCAGGACAAGAATAGGACGTTCCTTCTCTGTTCTAAATCATTTGAAGCCAACCTTTGCCAGGTGCCTCGGAAGCACATTCACCTAAGCGGCTAGGGCAGAAAGCACCAGGAAAGACAGAGTCAACAGGGACCTGAGCCAGGGAGCAAGGCCCTCAGAAAACACACAGGAGCCGCACGGGAACAGGGTCTTGAGGATGGGCCAGACTTTAGGAAGAGCCACACGAAGGCCGGCCAAAGGAAATTGGACGGTGCCAGAGCCCTCACAGTAAGGGCCTTGCAAGCCCAGGGGGTGGAGCCTTGACGGAGGGCCCCGGGAAGGCCTGATGTGGAGAAGGAACAGGAGCCTGTGCAGGCGGACAATTATCTGTGATGGACAGTCTGGGATCTTGTGGGTGTGATCAGAGAGGGATGAGACTCTGCCTTCAGCACAGGGAGCCTGGAGCAGTGAATGCCAGGGTGGGAGCCCACCAGTGGGAGCCAGAGACTGACCAGGAGTTGGCAGAGGCTGGCCCTGTGTGTGGGGCCTGGTCCACGAGGCAGAGTTGGGGAGCAGATTCTGCTCATGACTCTGCCCCGTGTCATGGGGTGCCCCGTGGGGTGAGAGTGGGGCAGGTGGAGAGCTCTGTGAGGTGGGAGTGGGCAGCTGGGGCCAAGGAAGTTGAGCTCAGAGTTCCAGGTGAGGCTGAAAGTTTGAGGCACACAGGGAGTGAGGTGGAAATGAGGGTCAATAGTGGGATTCTCGGGGTCCAGGGCCCCCATAGCCACAGGTATGGATGTTCTCATGGGGATGGGCTGGGCTGCAGGCCACATGCTCAATGGACATGAAGGTGGTCATGTGACAATGGCACAAATGGGAAAGTGGGGGTGCAGCCAACAGACTGACCTCAGAGCCTCCACCAAAGCACTGCATGGAGCAAGTGGCCAGAGCCTCGTCTCCCACCCACCCAGACAGCCGCCCGGACAGCAGGCCACACACCAATCACGCTCTCCACCTCCTCGGGGACGTCATAGCCCTCCTCGCTGTCAGGAGTCTCGACATGTGTCCGGGCCTCCTTCGGGCTCTGGGAGCTGGCCTGCAGGTTAGCAGCCAAGGAACGGCAGCCACGCTGGTACCTGCAGTGACCATAACTGACCTTAGGCCCACTGTCGTAGTGCAGAGCCTAGCAAACAATCTCGACAATGTCAATCGACAACTGAGTGTCACTTGGAATCTGAACCTGTGGAAATTGCAGGTGTTTGTAGGGACACATGGGAAGGAAGAAGATAGTGTTCACTGTCATCAGCCGAGACCACCAGGAAAAGATGACTAACCGTAGCCACAGAATC